GCCACCGCCTGCCTGGCCCCAAGGCTTTGGGAATCACGTCGCGTGTGCGCTCGTGTTGGGTATTTTTCACTTTGTGACTTGCCTGTACTAATGCTCCAGTAAGTTCCAGTCCCGGGCTGCTGTAGGTCCACGCCCTTCGTTATTTATAGTTTATTTGGTTCAAGCTCAAGAGTGCCTATGGAATAATGACCCAGATAATGGAAGATAGGGCAAATTTCTTTCGTAAATATTTTATTGAAAAATCTAAGGAGAGAGAATCCCTTTTCGTTGCAGTGTGCACCCTGTGAAGTTTGAGTTTAAGGCCCGTTTTTTTTTTTTTTTTGGTCCTTTTTGAGACCGGCCACACCGTGCTCAGCCAGTGAGCGCTCTGAGCAAATCGGTCATCCCTATATAGGATCCGAACCCCGGGGCGGGAGCGCTGCTGCGCTCCCAGCACCGCACTCGCCACGGGCTCGGCCCTTAAGGCCTGTTTTTTGATAGGCTTTGTTAACATCCCCATGCTGAGGCTAAATTTTAGTATTTCTATAAATCAATAAATTGAGCAGTGAGAAAGACTGTTTATATCTTTTCTAAGTTTCCATGGTGAGCCTAAGTAACCTTCAGAAAAAAAAATTTTTTTTGAATTAACAAAAAGCACTACAGCCAAGTTTTTTTTAAAAAGCACGTGCATTACTTAGGCATTGTTGAAATTTTTCTATCTTGCCACAGCGTTTCACAGCACACTTTATATTTAAAGGAAGTAGTCAGAGTGAAAAACAAGATGATACTGCCGTCTTTAGGGCTGCCTTTCCTCACGCGTTCTGAGGAAACCTTGACACCCAGTGTTCCAAACCTATTTGACAAGACTTGATTTTTCTTCTAACAACCCAGTAAGCAGCGCTGACGAGCGAGCCTGTAGTGCACCTCCTGGCTTTCTGTTACATTCCTCATGCTTTGCTTTTTTCTTGCGTGGGTCTTTAGCTTGTTTTGCCCGTGGATGGAGACATGAGTTGTGGACGTCAGTGTCGCTGGACAGTGCCTTCTCCATACAGAGAAGGATTTTGAAAAGTTGAGAAATATTTCGGGGGTTGAAAATAAGTCTTGGGTGTCATCCTGTGGAAAAGGTAGGGTGTGGACCGAAGCCCAGTGCAGCTCCGCCCTGTGAGCAGAGCGCAGGTGTGGACACAGAGTCTGGGCTCCCGAAGATGCTGAGGGGTCTACATGGGGTTAGGGTGAATGATTGGATGCGGTGATTGTGGGGGTGACTGTGTTCTGCTCATGGAATAAAAATTTCCCCAGTCCCCATCGGATTATTTTCCTTCATTTTCATCACTGAGAGACTGCAGTTAGGTCCTAATCCTAAAAGATGTATCAGGGAACATGCAGTTTTAACTCTAGAAGACAATGGAATATTCTCATCTAGTGCATTCTTGCCTGAATGGGGTTGAGAGTGGGCCTGTTGTTCAGCGGGGGAAGAGGCAGGAGAGAAGCTCTTACTGAGTACTGTAAACCACGCAACTCACGGTCACAGAATCCTTCAGTCTCCAAGCAGCTCTGCCAGCCAGGTGATACTGTGACCATTGAGGCACAGAGAGATGCAGTCTCAGAGGAGTTTGGTCATCACCTGAGGACCACACAGCTGGCGAGGGGTAACAGGAATTTGAGCTCGAGTCTCATCAATGTCCTTGTTTTGTCTACTGCATTTGAGGATTGGAGGGACATAGAATGGCCTCCTTACTTCCCTTGTCAGAGTGTCGTGCCCAGAAGGAAGCAGTGAAAAGTGAGACCCAGAGCAAGATGTCAGCAGGAATTAGAGGTGGCCTGTGCAGAGGAAGTCTGCTAATGAGCTGCAAAGCTGATAATGAGTTTACTTTTTCAGTCACATACAACATTTGGAAATTGGAAATATTTCCACTTCAAAGTGTTATGAATTTTAATCTGATAGAGCTATAGTTATAAGGCAATACCATTTTACCAATTGATTTAGCAGAGATGGTGAAATAACGGCAATACAGTTTGCTGTGGAAATACACGTCACTGTGAGGGCGTTCCAGCATGGCCTCCCACAGAGAACTTCAGTGGCACAGTCATTGTCTCAGCACTGGGCTATTCCTGTCGGGCCTTGTAAAGCCAATGGTATGCTTTGGTAATTCCATGGTAATTCCGTGTAGTCTCCTGTTAAAATAACTAGGAATATGAGCTAAAGTTCATGCACAAAATTGACTATCATGATATTACTTGTGATACTCAAAATAGGAAAAATATAAAATATCAGCAAATTTTTCAAATAAAATTGTATCTTTTTTTCTTTTTTTAAAATTTATTTATTTATTTATTGAAACAATTGATTATAGATAGTTATGGGGTACATTGTTGAATATTAATACCTATATACGATATATGATGACCAAATCAGGATAATTAGTATTTTAACCATTAGGAAATGTAATCATTCTGTGACCCTTTACCAATATCTCACTAGCCCCTCCCATTTTCCCACCTCTGGTAATTTCAGTTCTGTTCTATCCTTTTGAAAGTTCAGTGAATTATTGTGATTGTATCTTTCTTTTTATATTTATTTATTTGTTTTTTAGCTCCCGCTTATGAGTGAGGACGTATGGTATTTCTCCTTCTGTGTCTGGCTTATTTCACTTAACATAATTTTCTGAAAGTTCATCCATGTTGCTGCAAATGGCAGAATTTCATTCTTTTATATGGCAGGGTAGTCTTCCATTGTGTGTGTGTGTGACACACACACACACACACAAACCACGTTTTCCTATCTAGTTGTCTGTCAATGGACATTTAGGTTGGTTCCAACTCTTGTCTGTTGTAAATAGAGCTGTGATATACACGGGAGTGTAGGGATCCATTCAACATGATGATTTCCATGCCTTTGGGTATACATCCAGCAATTACTGGATCATAAGGCAGTTGTATCTATGTTTGTTTGAAGAACCTCAATACTGTTTTCCATAATGGTTATACTAATTTACAGTCTCACCAACAGTGTAGGAGGGTTCCCCTTTCTCCTCATCCTCACCAGCATTTGTTGTTCTCTGTCTTTTTCATAATAGCCAGCCTAACTGGGGTTAGATAATATCTCAGTGTGGTTTTGATTTGCATTTCACTGATGATTTGTGATGTTGAGTATTGGTTCCTGTGTCTGTTGGCCATTTGTATATCTTCCTTTGAGAAATGCCTATTCAGATGCTTTGCCCATTTTTAAATCAGGTTACTCATTTATTTTAACTGTTAAATTGTTTGAGTTCTTTGGATATTCTGGATATTAATCCCTTGTTGGATGCATAGTTTGCAAATATTTTCTCCCATTCTGTAGGTTGTCTTTTCACTCTGTTAATCATATCTCTTTGTTTGTTTGTTTTTGTTTTTTGTTTTTTGGCTGTGCAGAAACTTTTTAGTTTGATATAATCCCATTTGTTTATTTTTCCTTTTGTTTCCTGTGTATTGGGGGTCTTCTTCATAAAGTCTTTGCCCAATACTACTTCCTGAAGTGTGTCTCCTATGTTTTCTTTTAGGAGTTTTATAGTTTGGGGTATTATATTTAAGTCTTTAATCAATTTTGAGTTGATTTTGGTATGTGGTAAAAGGTATGGGTCTAGTTTCATTCTTCTGGATATAGATGTCCAGTTTTCCCAGCACCATTTATTGAAGGGGCTGTTTTTTCCCCACTGTATGTTCTTGGTACCTTTGTTGAAGATCAGTTGGCTGTAAGCATGTGGGTTGATTTCTGGGTCCTCTATTCTGTTCCATTCGTCC